GAATGGAATGGAATGGAATGGAATGAATAACCTGCTGGTTGTTAGAGGACCGATAAAAACACTTTTTTTCCGTCTCGACGGTAGGGAGAGAATCGAATTAGATGAACTTGCTGTTTGTTCGCCGTGTATGGAGAACGACTGGTCGATCTATTCACCTTCAGGGGGCCAGGATGGCCGTCTCTCGACTGTTGAGACAAGAGAGAGTAGGAAGGGAGAAGACAGAGAATACGAGAGAGAAAACACACACAGAGAGAGAGGCGGGGGGGGGGGGGGGGGAGAGGCACGTGAAGCACTTTTGGAGCCTGTTGGTCGTTCTTTCTCTGCCTGCCTCATTTTTCAATATCCATCCATGTGTTACCCTTTCGACTGGTGCTACGGTAGGGAGGTGCACTTTCGGGGTGAAGATATATTTTTTGACGGTCATCGTACATCGAAGCGTTGTGTCTGTCTCCCTAGCCGAAAGCGAAAAATGATGTGGTGACCCCCCCCTACCGCGTATTATTTAGTAGGATTTTTTTTCTCACCTCGAGCTGTGACAATTTACCAGGCGGCCTGCACGAGGGCTGCGCCATCGGTTGTTGTCTTTCTTCTCCCTCCTCCCTCATTTTTTCTTGCCCATTCATAGTTTCACCCTCTTTTCTCGCACCTCGTGCTGATCCGCCTTGATGTCTTGTCGTGGCACTGGATTTTTATATTTATTTTACAGCTGCTATCTTCTGTATACACCAACCAAGCTTAACTCTTCTCGCATTAAAAATCGAAGGCAACAAAGTACCGCAGGAGGGGAGGGTAGAGAGGGGCTCTTCTGTGTGACCACGGGTTGGAGTAAACGGCACTACTAGTGCTGTGAGCGCTGATTTGAAGTGCAGACAACAACAACAACAACAAAATCAACCATGTGTTACCCCCTTTCCCTCCCCTCGCGTTCCGTTTTGGTGTCTATCGTGTCTTGACGATAAATCAGGAGCAAAGGCCGAGATCTGCGCCATCGGTCTCCGCAACCCGTGGCGGTGCAGCTTCGACCGCTTGAACGACGACCTCTACTGCGGTGACGTCGGACAAATCTCGGTCGAGGAGATCAACTTTATCGAGTGAGATAGCCAACTATGTAGAGACAGACGTTACCATCATTCATGCGTCGCCTATCGACCGTCGTTGCAAAGCACAGGCTGCGGCAACAGCAGTCGACTTGGGGAGGGAGGGTCTCTCAGCGCGCATCATCCCTCTCGATCTTGTGGAGTGGATTAGCTAGGGAGGGACGACGCTCTCATGCATGCATGCCTATCGACGTTGTTAGGGAGGGACGGCAACAATAGCCAGGAACGTGGCTTGTCGTCTTGTTTCGTGGCCATAGCTTCGCGGGGCTTGGTGGCACGCAAGTGTTGCGTTTCGAATTGGGACACCTCCATTCTCCTCCCCATTCTCCACCCTTCCTGTATCTCAATGAACTACCGTCCGTGGCGTCAGCAGCAACCTCCCTCCGTTCGTCTGGCCGTAGATCGCGACGGTGCTGACGTGAAGAAATTTTTCTCCCCTCTGGTGAAATTAAACAATCATCCCACCACCCACCAACTCGACTTTCCTTTTTTTGTCTTGATTTGGAAGACAGCGACGACAATTATCTAGGATAACAGCAATCATATCTCACCACCCACCAACTCAACTTGCCATTGTTTCTTTTCATGTTGATGACGCCGGCGACACTCAGGTGCAGCAACACCACCGTGGTGAAATAAAACAATCTCCCCACCCGCCACCTCAGCTTGCCAATCTTTCTTGATCTTGACACCGACGCAAAATCCCAGGTGCAACAACGAAACAACTGGTTGTCGTTTCGATCATGTTGACGGCGACCTGTATCATTAGGTGTGGCAACAGCAACTACTGTGGTGAAGTGAAACAACGATCATGTCACCCCACCCAACGTACCTCGTATTTCTTTCTTTCTCGATCTTGACGACGACGACCTGTACATACACACTTAGGTGCGGCAACAACTACGGGTGGTCGAGGTTCGAGGGCTCCCGCTGCCAGGAGGCCGTTCAGGACAACGAGTTCAACCCCCCCTGCGACGGCGTAGACCGGTCCGACTTCACCTACCCACTCTTCGAGTACTGCCACCCGGACTTCGACTCTACAGACGCGGACGAGCAGGAGTTCACCGGGGGCGCCGACACCTGCGGGAACCGGTTTGTGGTGGGGAACTGCGTCATCGGGGGCTACGTGTACCGCGGAAACTTCTTCTCCGACCTTTTGGACGGCGCCTACATCTTCGGGGACAGCACCATGAGGTACGGGGGGTGGGGGTGTACTTACAGTCAGTACCCGCGCGCCAATAAAGCACGGCATGCTTTCCGAACCTTCCGGAAACCCTAACCCCCGAACCCCCTAAAGATCCTTTCGCACGATTGGTATTCCGACCTCCTTATAGTCGTGCATGGCGTTGTATTCGTTAGACCATTGACGTCTCATCCTTACATTCCCGGTTTGGAGCACGCCGGGTTCTCACCGGACCAGGCTCTAGGTAGGAGGGGGGAAGGGGGAAGACCACTATTGGCCACGCGTCCTCTCGAGAGGACGGGGCGCTGTTGCTCCCATAGGACAGATCGCCGTTGGGGCATACCTCTCTCATGTTTTGCGTGCCTTCTCGGTTAGACCACACTCTTCCAGCACGCCCTCGAGAGGAAGGGGAGGGGTGTACTCAAGGCCGTGCATGCCGTAGTCGTTAGACCGTTGACCTTGTGTGTGAAATCCTCGTTGGCGGGAAAAGACTCGGCTCGTTGGTCTCTTCCTCCTGACGCTAATAATGGCGTTTCTTCTGTGTTGAGAAAATTTCCAGTGGGGGGGGGGGCACGCGCACGCTTACTACTGTAAGTCCCCGGTGCCCTTGATTGCTCGGCCGTCTGACTGAGTCTCTTGTCAAGTCGACTTTTCGCGTGGTGTGTGTTTGTTCTGTGTCTTCTCCACCATATGTTTTGTTGGGCGTTCTGTTGTTGATGCTCAGGAACATCTACTTCCTGAAGGAAGAGGAGGACGGCTGGGCGGTTGGGACAATCGTCAGCGACGCGAGCGTGCAGATCATCAGCTTCGCCGAGGACGTCAACGTACGATTATGACCGACGTGTGCTGTTGTTTTTTCTCTTTCAACGTAGGGATGTCAACGTGAGAAGCGACCAACTGCTGTTTGTTTTCCCCTGTGACACGTAAGGGAACACGTACGTACGTGCTGTTTACTTTTTTTTGCTTCAAGGTAAAAACGAGACGAGCACGTGCTGTTGTTTTTTCCGCTGAAATTATGATTGATTGATTGTTTGCTTGTTTGTTTCTACACTAATCTCCAAGAAGCAGCACTGGTGTCGTCGCCTTGTGGTCCAGAATTATTTGGCCGGGATGGAAGGCCAACTATCCAGGGGTGTCGTGACGGACGGCATAAGCGAGCACTCTGCTGTTGTATACTGTTTACAGTTTGCCTGAAAAGCCGATGGACGCTTATTGCCATGTATTTCCTTTCTTTCCTGCATATTGTGGACGGCTAGTGCTCAACGCTTCTTCTACTGCTGCTGCTGCTGTTGGGCGTCTATTGTTGACTTTGACAGGGTGAGATCGTGCTGCTCGACTACAATCACGACATCTATCACATGCCCTGCGGCGACCTCTGCGTCACCACCTGCCTCGACCAGGCCGAGGACCAGCCCGCCTACGAGGTACCTACCTACCCCCACCCCGTTCTATCCGATTCCGCTTGGCGTATCCCCTCGGACGGGTCTCCCACACTTTCAACGATTTTGCTAAACCGCCCATGGGGCACCCGTGGGCGCCCATCCAACTGGAACCAAGTGTACCCCTAGACGTTAAATTGTGTTCTGCTTTGGAACGGGAATTGCTGCGTCTAGTAACCCTAACGCTTAACCCTAACCCCAAGCCCAAGCCCATACGACGCGTGCTAGGTTGGTACCCTGGTCGCGAAGTTCGATGTAGGTGGATGTGCCGGTGGCGAGTTATTTTCGGCCCATGGGTGCCTAATAGGTGTCCCATGGGCGGTTCAGCAAAACTGCCAGTAGTGTGGGAGATTGCCTCGGACATACGCCCTTCGGCGAAACAATCAAGCAAGGCTTTGTGAGGTGCCCAAACCCATCCTGATGCTGTGGCTGTCTGCCTGAACACTCTCCTCTCCCTGGCATCCCTTTTGCACTTCACGTATCTCCCCTGGCATCCCTGTTGAGGCCACCTCGTTAGTGGCTGTGCCTGTTGGTAGGCTCTTGGCGTGTAGGCGCTCTATCGATGAGAAATCGATACCGCCGTCTCTGCACGGCATAGATATACGTGGTGATGCACCGTGGAGATGGGAGAAAACGCACGGTTCGGTGGTATCGCGCGTGCTGTACCGGTGATATCGCACCTCCGCGGCGCGATGAACGTTCAACGTCGAAATGATAAATTTAGGCTGCTGCCCTTTGAAAAGGCGGCCTGCTACAGAACATCACATCAAGCCACCGAGCCCGCTAATGGGTTCCACGCGAACCCATCCATCATTCCCAGATTGTCTCTTCCTTCAGCACCTACTACATCGACCGATCGTTTGTTTTTGCGGCTCGGTCGCACTGAAGCAGACGCGCGCACAGACATGCGCGCATGCTGCATGAAGCTCAACACACGGCGAGCCGACGAGGAGAAGCAGCAGCCGAATGAAAACGTGGATAAATTCCTCTGCATGGGCCCATAAAAGCAAGGGGTCGAGTGCCGCCGAGAATGCACCGTCTTTTTTTTTTTTGATATTTCCTCCTGCGACAATCGAGATAAATCGTCAATAGCAATACTGGCGCCTCACCCAACACACGCTTTTACTCCCCCTCTTTCTCTCCACCGACTCTCTTGTGTCCTCTGCCGTCGCGCGAATGAAAAATATATGAACAATCTCTCTATGCGTGCGTGCGTGCGTGCGTTCGACGGGGGTCGGTGGACTGCAGTCGCTAGGGTGCTTCGCCGACGATGTCAATGACCGCGCGCTGCCCACCGAAGCCGACAACTGCGGCGTGGGAGAGACGGCCATGAGCCCTGCGGTGAGATACACAGTAGGTCAACTCCTATGTAAAAGATGGCGCCTGACGGCGAGGGGATCCTTTTTCGAGACGCTTGTTTCATGACGTTGTTGTTAGCGTGTCCCTGTCCTTCGTACTAAAGGCTCTGCCAGTCGCTCCCCAGGATACGACGAGGTCTTTGGAAACAACGACACATTCACTCGTTGAAACGCTACTGAGGAGACGTCCAGGATTTTCGCCGAGTACCAGTTGGTTGTGTTTCCTATATTTTCTTCCCTCCCTGCTGTGTAACTGTTGCCTATACCCTCCCCTCGTCTGTCTGTTTGTCTGTCTGTCTGTCAGTACCAGTTGTTGTGTTTCCTATATTTTCTTCCCTTACTGCTGTGTAACTGTTGCCTATACCCTCCCCTTGTCTGTCTGTCTGTTGGTCGGTCGATGGGTCGGTCTGCACGCAGATCTGCGCGTCCTACTGCGAGACGTTGGGCTCGACCTTCTTTGGCGTGCAGTACTCCTTCCAGGTCTGTCTGTCTACCGTCTCACAAACGCATGCGAGAAAACCAAAAATTATGCATGTAGGAGGAGGCACTACAGTACGTACAAAGTATAACATTGGACGCGTTAAAAAAACCTGACCAGTACATACATATCATACCAGCTTTCATGTATTATGAATCGGGAGTCGTTGGCGGTTGTCTGTCGCCATCAATCGACCTATCTCCTTTTTTGTTCCAGACTTTGCAGCGCACGTTAATTAACACATGCAGAACGCGCCAATTAATTGTCCCCGCGCGGGATTAGAGGATTGATGACCGCCGTGCGTGGACTTTTTTTTCGCTTTTCGTTCTCTCCGCTTTCACTCCCGGACCCGAACAGTGCTTCTGCGGCCCGTCCACTGCTGACTACGACAAGCACGGGTCTCTGACTTCCGACAACTGCGAGTACCTGTGCGAGGCGAGTGGCGAGTAGAGCAACTCATCTTATGGCGGACTGATTTGATTCGTCGTCTCCTAGCCATGGGTTTGACAACATGACGTCGGTTTCACCATGTGTGCAGCTGCTATGTACGCCGAGAAATAACCGCCTTGTACGCCATGCGATCATTCTTTTCTCAGAATGTTTGCGTTTGCCGCTTCCATTATTCGTTTGCTAGCACCTGTTCGAAGAGAGTGACGAGCAGAGCAACCCACCGTCCGTTTCCTGAGTCTGTGCGACGTAGAAAGCAAAGGATTGAGCATTAAGGTGGTGCGGACTGAAAACAAGGCGTCGGTTTAATGACATAACGCTTCGTAGAAGCAAGCGAAGAAGAGAGCAACCTCCCACACGAGGCAGTTACATGTATGCATGTCGAAAAAAATGGTGGCCGTTGTCTGTTGTTTGGGGAGAGTATTCGTTTCTCAGAATCTTTGCTTGCCACCTTCTCGGTTTGCTGCGAGTACCTACGTGCCTGCGGGATGAAAGTGAAGAAAAGTACGACCCACTTGACCTATTTGGCTTGTCTTCTCCCATAGGCTGACAGCAACAAGGCGCTCTCGCCCTCCTTCCGGCTTATTTGTACTTGTCGCGTACGTCCCTTCAGGCCCAACCCTGTTTGAAGTTTGGCTATGTTTGTGCCCGAAAAAAATGTCACCGTGTTCTCCTTCGGAGCATTCACTTTTTCTCGGGATATATTTTGTGACCCTCTCGTTTCTTTTTATTATTTTTTTTTGTTTCGCACGTCCCTTCAGGCCTACCCGGACGAATTCTGCGGTGGATTCAGCACCATGGAGGTGAGCCCCACTGCTTTGGAGGCGGGAGATTGCTGTCAGAAGCGCGGAGAGAGACGGTTTACTATGTAGTGCACCGGGCATGCTTGCCCCATGCACGTGGAACGGACAGGCCACCAATGATACACTAAACCTCCTACAGATCTCCGTATTTCCGCATCCAGTGTAAGGTAACCCCCCCCCCCCCCCCTTTTCTTCGAGATACAAAGACGACGCGATAACCACAAGAGGCGGAGAGATGCCACCCCCCTTACTACGGTTGACTGACTTTCAAAGCTCGATTGCCCCGCAACCAAGTGGATGCGGCAAGAGCACGATACGTCTGCGGAAAGCCGTCGACGAAGGGTTTCTCCCTAACCACCATTCATTTTTATTGGTGTTGGCACAAGCAAGCTTGGTTGTAGAGCAATCAATCGCGGTTTGAAAGTCGGTTTACAGTAGAGGGGGGGGGTGTGCCACCTCTCCGCCTCTTGCGGTATCTCGCAGCAATGGCACCATGTAGATAGTCCATCCATTAGATACTCCCCTTTGGGGGAGAAAGTCCTCCTCCAACCTCTTCACGATCACTCCTTCGCCTTGAACTCAATCCCGGTACAACTCTCGAACTACGGACTAGTCGTGCCCGCCGAATGTGAAACGGTTTGCTAGCCGGGATGCCCTTGGCATGTTACCTGGATTGGCCCGACAAATACAAGGATAGTTAGTTATAATGACAGTAGATTTAGCTTCTGGTCCATCCTCCTCAAACGTCGACAGGCGGAAACCCGGCATGTCGCCCCGTGGTGCCGGCATTGTAGAGATGGGAGAGGACATGAATGGCCCAACGACTACGGCATGCACGGCTACGAGTTACCCCCACCCCCCACCTACACCTCAGCCCCTCCCCCCCTCCTCAATACGAGTTCCCCCCCATCCTCCGCTCCCCCCTCAACCTAATTTTCCTCGCCGCCGTACCCTCTCTTGATTGGTACCTATGGGATAATCTCAGGTCTTCACGATCGAGGATCCCCTACCGACCGAGGCCCCCGCGCCCACGCCCTTGATGAACCACTCGACCACAGCGCCGGGTGCCACCCCTTCGCCCACTACCACCACGGTTGGGCCGGTCCTCGTCGGGCCCTCCACGGCCCCTACGACCCCGGCCCCCCTGGACGCCGGGGTCGCCGGCTACCTGGGCTGCTTCGCGGACGCGGAGGCCCCCCGCGTGTTCCCGGAGACAGGGATGACGGGGTCGAACACCATGACCACGGCGGTGAGAGAGGGAGGAGAGGCGTTGTCGACGTCGAGGTTGTTGTTGGAAGTATGGAAATACGCTATGCTACAAAATGTTGACGGAAAAGACTGCCCGTTCGAAGAGTAGAAATGGCGAGGCGCGTCAATCAATGTAAAGCTTCTTAAGCTTTTCGATTTTTTGAAAATGGTTTATATTCGAACAATAACAGAAAGACTATTCACTCGTTCGAGGTATCACCTCGTGTGCGGGAGACAGGGGCGACGGGGTCGAACGCCATGACCACGGCAATGAGAGAAGGACAGGCAGCCGTGTGTCGACGAATACATCCATCCGTAGATTGGGCGTGTTCTTGATTTTTTTTTTTTTCATTTGTTGGGGGTGAGGGTTATAGGGTCAGAATATAGCAATAACAAACAAGAGTGATTTGTCAGTGATTGACCAAGCTGCTGCTGCTGCTGCTGCTGCTTGCTGTTTTGGACTTTGTTCCATGGAGGCTTGCGAGCCGCCGCTTTTTCTTGAGGCATCGGAAAGACTCGCTCCTGACGATTGTGTCCATCCCCCGTTCCGGCGGCTTCCTCCACATGTGCCTTCCTGCCTGCCTGCCTGCCTGCCTTCTTCACCCACACTCCTACCGTCAATCGCCGTCGCTGCGGGGGGGATACATACGCGAATAGACGTGCGCTGGGCTGTGCTCCGACTACGCCTACTACGCCACTCAGTACGGGAGAGAGGTGAGCTCGCCATTTTTTTCGTTTTTTCCACAAAGTATTTTTTCGTTTGTGAGATCTGGTAGTTCGTTTGGCCGGCGTCCTGAATCCCGGTGTATCTAGCGCATGGGGCATGACAAGCCCGTGGAGCGGAAAATCGTGGGAGGGAGCTGCTAGCTTTGTGTTGTCGTTGTTATCGTTCTTGTTATTGGTGGTGTTGGTGTTTTCACAATAAAGAATTGACATTCCGGTCCCCGCTCAGCACCTCGGAGTTAGTTACTGCAAGCCCGCGCTTTGCTAGTCCAACTGACGCGGACGTTCACACACAAGCCGACGGCCAAAAGAAGCCCAAAAAAGGGTACACCATTCTTGAGCGAAAAGTACATAACAAACGTACAGGGTGAAAGTATTTTTCTGCGTGCCTTTCTATTCCTTCAATCTTTAACAAGTACCACGGTGTCTTCTCCCCACCGTCAACACCGTCTGATTTGATGGCTGACCTCTCCCAGTTTACGGCAGGCGTGCACTCGAGGGCTGAACATCAACACCGACCAACATTCGAAGCACTTCGGTGGTATAGACGGGGATTGTTGTTTCGTTCTACCCTGCTAAAACCTGATATTTGGCATCCACGTTAAGTTTGTTCGGCGGTCCCTCCGAAAAACGAAACCTGGTTTGAAAGCGGTTCATGTCACCGCAGCTAGCCCACGATGCACCTCGGCATTATGTAACACACGTGCGCTCGTTCCTGACATTTTCATATCTTTACCGTTCGTCGCCCTTGGAATGGACGTATGGATGCCGACAGTGCTGGTGCGGCAACAACGCCGCCTACGACATCAACGGCCCCGGTGCCTGTGAAATCGCTTGCGCTGGCGACCCGTCCGAAACGTGCGGAGGGAACTTCGCCATGTCGGTGCGTACGTCGGTTGCCGTGCTTCTTTACCTCCCCGCGTTGTTCGTTGTTGGCGTCTTGTAGATGTGCCGCAACGTACTTTCCCCGCACCCTATCCCTACGGTTGTAGAAACATGCGAGGCTTCCCGTGCTGGAGTTACCGTAAGAGACGGAGAAGATGACGACTCTCAAAGCTCGATTTGTTCCACAGCGAAAAATATTGTCTGTACCGTACCGTATACCGTACCGTCGTATTCCGTAAGAGACGCAGAGATGACGACTCTCACAGCTTGATTTGTTCCACAGCGAAAAAGATTGTCTGTACCGTTCCGTATACCGTACCGTGCTATTCCGTAAGAGGCGGAGAGATGGCACAACCCGTGGACCGACGTTCATAGCTCGATTGATCCACAGCCAAGATTGTCTGTACCGTACCGTATACCGTACCGTGGTATTCAGTAAGATGCGGACAGATGGCACAACCCCTCGACCGACGTTTATAGCTCGATTGATGCACAGGCAATCGGGGTGCGGAAAGAGCCCGATATGTACCTCCAAAGGAAAGCCCTTGACGAGATGCTTCCAAACCCACCACTTGTGGGTATTGGCACAAACGCTTGGTCATGGTTGTGGAGCTATCGAGCGCCCGAAAATCGGTTTACAACGGGGGTGCCATCCCTCCACCTCCCACGGTAGATCGGAGGGTTGTTCAGTGCTCCGTAATACTCCCATTCCCGTGTCTGCAATGCTTGTGGTTTCCCACTTACGACCCCGGGGTTCCGGCGAACAACGAGGCCACACTTCGACCACGACACCGAAATCCCCAGCTCTGTGTTCTGTCTGCTCGACCAAAGAGCTTTCCTGTTTATTAGTGCTTGCTCTTGCCCCCCACGACGTCGCCGGCTGCTGCCGCTGCTGCTGCAGGTGTACTCGACCAGCTCCGACCCGACGGAGACACCGGCGCCCGTAGCCGATAACGCGTACCTCGGATGCTTCGCCGACTCGACTACCGACCGTGTCTTGTCCGTCGTCATCGACTCCGGCAGCATGACCACGGCGGTAAGCGGCACGAGAACGAAGCGGGTGGTATCCCGTTAATATTGCAACGCCAATTCTTCTTGCCAACGATTCATTTGTTTGTTTTTTTCGTGCAATAGTGGAACACGATTAATCCATCTCTACGCTTCCTCGAGCAGCATACCAGGACAGGAACAGGCTTTACAAGATTAGCTATTATTTTGTTCGCCGTGCTGTTTACTTCCGGCTGTCGCTTTTGTCGACCTTCGGTCGTTGTTTGTTGTTGGTGGTGGTTTTGGTGTTGCCGTTGTTGCACCGCCGCCCCTTCATGAATCAATCCCTGGGGGACACGTTGTCCAAACTTGGCCGCTGCGTCTCCCCACCTCAACATGGTATCCGTCCCCGTCCCTCCCACCGATCGTCGCTATGATCTCCCGTAATCTCTCCGGTATTTGCTGCTGCTGCTTCTGCTGCTGCCGCTGTTCTCGTCTCCCACAAACGCACATCTCGACGGCGCCGGATAACGGTGGCATCGTACGGCACCAGATCTGTGCGGACACTTGCGCTGAATATGCCTACTATGGCACGCAGTACGGCAGGGAGGTGAGCTGAGACTTGGAGAGCGTGCACGAAGGTGTTCGTCGACTGCCTGGACAAGTATTTTGGCTCCCGAATACTGAAAAAAGACAAATACCCAAAACTGTTGGTATCGTTGAACAGCTGAGCAATGATGTACGTGTGACCACGGGTTGGAGTAAACGGCACAAACAAGCGATGTGAGCGCTGGTTTGGGGTGATGAGGCCAAGAAAAAAAAAATAACAATAAATGATGCAGGCACGTGTCTGTTGGGCTTGAACCAAGAACATACCGCTTTCGATCATGTAGACGAGGGCGATGACAGTCGTGCGCGACACACCGTGGTTACCTCTCTCTTTTCATGTTGCCAAAAGCCAATCCCTTATCGTCGTCGCCCTCCCTCTTCCTGTTCTTGGAATGGATGTCGTCAGTGCTGGTGCGGCAACAACGCCGACTACGACGTCTACGGAGAAGCAACGTGCGACATGGCGTGCGCTGGTGACGCTACGGAATTCTGCGGAGGCTTCGTAACCATGTCGGTACGTACGTGAGCAGCTGCTTGCTGTTTTTCTCAGTAATCCCGGTTTTTTTGTCTTGGCCCTGCGCCGCAACGTGCATGTCGAGGCGTATTTACACGCCGGGGCTGGCGAGGGCGAAGCGCGCTCAAGTAGCTCGGTACAGCGACGTAGGCCTACCAACTGTTGCGCAACAGCCTATTTAGCTTGGATGCGGGTTGTAGGGTTGTAGGGTTAGGGTTTTACGGGCGAGGCCTATATAGCGCCGTGGTGTAGTCTAAGGGCTGGAAACCTGCTGGTGGCTTTGGTTTCGTGTCTACCTACCTCCAACCACAACCCCGAAACGCTGTTGAACTGGCGAGTGCAAGAGAGTCGCCAGCTTCGAGGTAATACGCACGTACACACGGCGTCAGGACGGCTTCTGTTTGGCGAGATTCTGCTGCAGCGCCGGCTATGAACAGGGTGTCGAACGCCCCATCTGTTTTACTTTCCTGTGCGGGGACGTACGTAGCAGACGTGAGCGTCCGCGTCCCCTTCATGGTTGGCAGAGAATGGACTCCACCGCTGCAGCAGGCGACAGAATCGATTTCAGGAGTCACCAACACCTAAATAGCGGAAGAGTGTTAGCGAGCGACTCCGAATCAAGGGAGTGCTTCGCAAGTTCGTGAGACGTGCCGTGCCGTGTCGGGCAAATTCAACCACTAGACAGCGTACCTATCAACAACAGGGAAGGGTCTCGTGTGGGATTGGTGTGCCGTTTCGCGGAGACGCCTTCCCTCTCCTTTCATCGTCTATGTATCCGGTCTCACAGTTGGGCCTGCACTTCAGAACCTCTAGTTTCGACCGAGGTCGATGTTCTTAGTCCTCGCAGGGTTACGCGACGAATGACCGCTATTTACTTGATGGTGTACGGGGTTTTCCTAACCAACCTCACAACAAATGGTGCTCGAGCTCTCAGATGTCGAGTTTCTCGAGGCTCAAGTTCTTCTCTTCTTCGCTGCTATTTTCTCTCAAGTGCGCGCGCTACACACAACATCATGTACCTTGTCAATCCTCTTTCGTGTTGTCCTCGTTCGCCTCCCCCCCGTCAATAACCCCTGCTCGCAGATCTACTCGACCGGCTTGGTGGTGGAAACCCCGTCCCCCGTCCCGGACGTAGAAACCCTGTCCCCCGTCCCGGACGTAGAAACCCCGTCTCCCGTCCCGGATGTAGAAACCCTGTCTCCCGTCCCGGATGTAGAAACCCCGTCGCCCGTCCCGGATGTAGAAACCCCGTCTCCCGTCGCACCTACCGAGCCCGGGTACCTCGGATGCTTCGCCGACTCGACAACCGACCGTGTCTTCTCCGTCGTCACCGGCTCCGGTAGCATGACCACGGCGGTAAGCGGCATCAGAACGAAGCGACGAAGGAAGGGCGTTGTTGGTACTTTGCGCGGGTGATCTCGCGTTAATACTGCAACGCCGATTCTTGCTTTTGTTTAATTTATTTTTTTTCCGTAGCGGAATTCGGTTAGTCTATCTGTACCCATATAGATGGGGGGTCTAGGATTAGTGATGAGTTCATAGCGTTAGCGGAGAGCACTGCTACCTGTGCCTCTACGCTTCCTCAAGCAGCACACAGGAACAGGAACAGGCTCTACAAGATGTGTTATTCGTTATTTTTGTTCGCCGCGCTGTTTACTTCCGGCCGTCGCTTTTGTCGACCGTCGGTCGTTGTTTGTTGGTCGTGGTGGTTTTGGCGTTGCCGTTGTTGCACCGCCGCCCCTCCATGAATCAATCCGTGGGGGACACGTTGTCCAAACTTGGCCGCTGCGTCTCCCGGCCTCGACATGGTATCCGTCCCCGTCCCTCCCACCGATCGTCGCTATGATCTCCCGTAATCTCTCCCGTATTCGATGCTGCTGCTTCTGCTGCTGCCGCTGTTCTCGTCTCCCACAAACGGTGGCATCATACGGCACCAGATCTGTGCGGACACTTGCGCTGAATATGCCTACTATGGCACGCAGTACGGCAGGGAGGTGAGCTGAGACTTGGAGAGCGCGAGTCTGTTGTGTGCACGAAGGTGTTCGTCGACTGCCTGGACAAGTATTTTGGCTCCCGAACACTGAAAAAAGACAAATACCCAAAACTGTTGGTATCATTGAACAGCTGAGCAATGATGTACGTGTGACCACGGGTTGCAGTAAACGGCACAAACAAGCGATGTGAGCGCTGGTTTGTGGTAATAAGGCCAAGAAAAAAAAAATAACAATAAATGATGCAGGCACGTGTCTGTTGGGCTTGAACCAAGAACATACCGCTTTCGATCATGTAGACGAGGGCGATGATAGTCGTGCGCGACACACCGTGGTTACCTCTCTCTTTTCATGTTGCCAAAAGCCAATCCCTTATCGTCGTCGCCCTCCCTCTTCCTGTTCTTGGAATGGATGTCGTCAGTGCTGGTGCGGCAACAACGCCGACTACGACGTCTACGGAGAAGCAACGTGCGACATGGCGTGCGCTGGTGACGCTACGGAATTCTGCGGAGGCTTCGTAACCATGTCGGTACGTACGTGAGCAGCTGCTTGCTGTTTTTCTCAGTAATCCCGGTTTTTTTGTCTTGGCCCTGCGCCGCAACGTGCATGTCGAGGCGTATTTACACGCCGGGGCTGGCGAGGGCGAAGCGCGCTCAAGTAGCTCGGTACAGCGACGTAGGCCTACCAACTGTTGCGCAACAGCCTATTTAGCTTGGATGCGGGTTGTAGGGTTGTAGGGTTGGGGTTTTACGGGCGAGACCTAGCGCCGTGGTGTAGTCTAAGGGCTGGAAACCTGCTGGTGGCTTTGGTTTCGTGTCTACCTACCTCCAACCACAACCCCGAAACGCTGTTGAACTGGCGAGTGCAAGAGAGTCGCCAGCTTCGAGGTAATACGCACGTACACACGGCGTCAGGACGGCTTCTGTTTGGCGAGATTCTGCTGCAGCGCCGGCTATGAACAGGGTGTCGAACGCCCCATCTGTTTTACTTTCCTGTGCGGGGACGTACGTAGCAGACGTGAGCGTCCGCGTCCCCTTCATGGTTGGCAGAGAATGGACTCCACCGCTGCAGCAGGCGACAGAATCGATTTCAGGAGTCACCAACACCTAAATAGCGGAAGAGTGTTAGCGAGCGACTCCGAATCAAGGGAGTGCTCCGCAAGTTCGTGAGACGTGCCGTGCTGTGTCGGGCAAATTCAACCACTAGACAGCGTACCTATCAACAACAGGGAAGGGTCTCGTGTGGGATTGGTGTGCGGTTTCGCGGAGACTCCCTCCCTCTCCTTTCGTCGTCTATCCGGTCTCACAGTTGGGCCTGCACTTCAGAACCTCTAGTTTCGACCGAGGTCGATGTTCTTAGTCCTCGCAGGGTTACGCGACGAATGACCGCTATTTACTTGATGGTGTACGGGGTTTTCCTAACCAACCTCACAACAAATGGTGCTCGAGCTCTCAGATGTCGAGTATCTCGAGGCTCAAGTTCTTCTCTTCTTCGCTGCTATTTTCTCTCAAGTGCGCGCGCTACACACAACATCATGTACCTTGTCAATCCTCTTTCGTGTTGTCCTCGTTCGCCTCCCCCCCGTCAATAACCCCTGCTCGCAGATCTACTCGACCGGCTTGGTGGTGGAAACCCCGTCCCCCGTCCCGGACGTAGAAACCCCGTCTCCCGTCCCGGATGTAGAAACCGCGTCGCCCGTCGTAACCACCGAGCCCGGGTACCTCGGGTGCTTCGGCGACTCGCAAACCGGCCGTGTCTTCTCCGTCGTCACCGGCTCCGGTAGCATGACCACGGCGGTAAGCGGCATGAAAAGGAAGCGACGAAGGAAGGGCGTTGGTGGTGGTTTGCGCTGGTGGTCCCCCCCCGTGGCACAGGCTTCTTCACGGCCGTTGGTGATAGCGTAACGCCAACTCTTGTTTTTTTTCGCTCTGTTTGCTTTGTTTCGTAACGGAACACGATACATGCATCTCTACGCATAGATGGGGTGTCTAGGGTCAGTGATGAATTCATAGCGTTGCCGGAGAGCACTGCTACCTGTGCCTCTAGGCCTCCTCAAGCAGCACACAGGAACAGGCTTTTCAAGATTTGTAGTTTCTTTTGTTCGCCGCTCTGTTCATTACCGGCCGTCGCATTTCCCAACGTCGACATGGAATCCATCGCCGTCCCCCCCACCGATCCTCGGTATGATATTTTTCTTGTTGCTGCTCTGCTGGCCTCGTCTTCGACCAACGGATCACATCTGAACGGCGCCGGATAACGGCGACACCATACGGCACCAGATCTGTGCGGGCACTTGCGCTGACTATGCCTACTATGGCACGCAGTTCGGGAGGGAGGTGAGCTCACAGTTAAAGGACGCGAGCCTGTTGCGTGCATGGATGCTCTTGTCGACGTGACTGGGCAATATATAGATGTCGGGTCCCCAAAGACTGAAAATGAAAATACCCGAAACAAAAACAGCCAACACACGTACTTTCTCTCGCAGCAGCAGTTACTCTTCTTATTACAGCCGAACAATGATGCACGTGTGACCACGGGTTGGAGTAAACGGCACAAGTCCTGTGAGCGCTGATTTGAGGTTTGAGGTAGTGTTTCGGCTGCAGGATGGTGTGGGGCGTTACGTGTTTTTTGTCGTTCGTGCTTCGGTTTGCCTGTGACCACGGGAATAGACAACCTCAAGTGTTTGGTCAGCACTGAGGGATGTACTGGATATAGAGACTCGTAAAGGTTTTTCCTGTGAAGACAACGACAACAAACGACATTGCTTCCCCGTAGAGTACAGTTCTTGGCACCACAACACGCCTCGTTAGTAAAGACCACGGTTACCTCTCTTCATGTCAACAAGGAAATTACTCCCCGCCTCGTAGTATCGTCTAACCACTGCGGTCACCGCTTCATGCCAACAAGGAAGTCACTTCCCGCCTCGTACTTAGTTTCGTCTAAACACTGCTGTTACCTCTCACTCCACGCTGACAAAGCCAATCCCTTACCGTCGTCGCCCTTCCTCTTCTTGTTCTTCGAATGGATGTCGTCAGTGCTGGTGCGGCAACAACGCCGCCTACGACGTCTACGGAGAAGCAACGTGCGGCATGGGGTGCACTGGAGATTCCTCTGATACCTGCGGAGGCATCAACGCCATGTCGGTACGTCGGTTTGCTGTTGTGCTGCCTCTTGTGTTTGCTTTAGTCGACCCATACATGCGTGCTGTGCATGTTTTTGATTCTTGACTCGCGACAGCGAAACCAGCAGTGGCTTTTACGCCATGACGACGGCGAGACGGCTGTGCAGAGCATTCTGTCACACACACATAGTAATGAGGGTAATTCTTTTGGGAGAGACGGGGACGAAGGAAAGGGAAGAAAGGAGGACGAAGACGACGATGGAGGAGAAAAAGATGGAGGAGGAGTGGAAGAGAGCAAAGGGTTCGAGCCAGATGACCTTCCCCCAAAAAAAAAACGCAGGGCTAGGGAAGAACTGCCCAGAGATTGTTGTCAAAATGATGATCAGATTGATGGTAGCGAAAACAAGAAAGATAATGTCCTAAACGAACTAGACAAGGTACTAGCCTTGGTAGACGCGTCCAGTTTTCTTCTGTTGCTGCCGTTTCTGTCTTTGATCCGAAGGATAGTTTGGCCTCCCCCATGCTGCCCCCTCACGGGGTCCCAGTTCATGGCAGATAAAAGTGTTAAAAATTGTGTTTTCAACCGCGCTAAGACTGACGTCTTTTCGTTGGTCAGCCGGTTAGCGCGCTCGATGCTAATAATAAACACACACACGCACACCCTCCTCCTCCGCGTGTTGTTGATGGTCTCTGCCAAAAATCGTTGTTGCATTTTTGTGTCCCTGTCCACGATCTCAACTCCCCCCATTCCCTCCGACAACGTCTCCGCCAGGTCTACGGCACTGCCTAACACCGCCGAGAAGGGCGTGTGGGTGTACGAAGGAATCGAGGAACGGCGGGCCGCGGCCCAGCATGCTGTGACGGCCCCGCAACAGCCGCTTGGCTTTCGAGACGTGTTTTCCACATCCTTGATGGAAGTGGGATCGTATGTTGCCTGATGGCCGAGACCAAAGTGCTTGGTTCATGTTGGACGGGCGCGCTCCGTAGGCTCTCTCGATAGAATGAGTAGCGATGGATTGGCTTGCTTGGTTCACGTTGGACGGGCACGCTCCTTTTGTTTCTCGATAGAATGGGTGGCGATGACTTGCCTTGCTAGCTCCATGTTGGACGGGCGCGCCCCTCCGCATCTTGGTAGTAGCATGACTTGCGTGGTTTGGTCCCGGGTTGCGTCTACTCTACAGTCTGTCTTCACTTCGTTCGTGTACAATACTCGACCGGTTTGTTTCTGTTTAGCAAGTGTAAGAACTACAATATGGTTGGGGGTAGGGGGGCGGGCAGGAAAGGGAGGGTTGTTGAGGGTTGTGTGATTATTGGAAAAAAAAATAGTGTAGCAGTGTTTCGAGTCCTCGACCCCCCGTGGCCCCTCTCCTTTGCCAGGCGGCCATCTTATGGTGGAGTCTGAAGCGCTTGCTCGGACGCTGACCGGTTTGCGGGCTTGGATAGAACAACCGATGTCCCCTAATGGGAAAGGGGGGTACGTGTGATTTGACATTTTTTCGCATCCCCCCCGCGTAGGCGCACCTGGTCCGGCGACAACCCGTCGTGCTCCGTCTCGTAGGGGTGCGAGGTCAATGGTCAAATGACTTCGTATAGGCATGCGCACCTTTTAGGTTAGGGGAAAAGGTTACGGGAAATGGTTTTTGAGCCACGTTTGGCAAAGTAGGAAGGAACAATTGGCCGTCGATGATGGATACTTGCATGCGCAGCCGTATCTACCCGTTAGTTGCTCGTAAACAAATTGTTCCACTTGTTGTCTTTTGCACCCTTGTGAGTTGATTGGGTTTGTTGCTGTTTCCGCTGTCGTCCCCTGTTGGCTGGGTGATGAGTCGTGTTGCGCTTTACGCGCGCGGGGGTCGCAAGTGTCAAGGAGATGGCTGTATCGAAGCGTGGCGCACACCTCCTCGGGTGCCTGTTGTGTTTCGCGAATAGGGTGCTCCCCACGGTCATCACGCAGCGTTGGAACAACCGCCTTCGTGTAGTGCACCTAGTACGTCGGGCAGGGGGAGTCATTCGCCGCACCACCGTACAAACAGGGCTGGTGGCAGGCAGGCTTTCTTGGGGGGGAGGGGGGGGGGCGTGATTAGCGCCGCAACAGAATAAATAGTGGTTTATTGCTTTGTAGAAGTTCTGTTTTGACATTGCTTACAGGTGTTGTGCCGAGTGAGATGCTGGTGCTCGACGATGTGCCTCTGAGAGACTTCGACCTGCAGTGTGAGGGTAACGATGGCATATACGGTCAATCTTCAGGCATAAAGCCCGAACGTGTTGGATTCCCGCGATGTTGTTGTTTGTTTCTTCAATTGTATTTCGTTTCATGGGCGCAGGACATTTGACTGTCTGTTGCTACCTTCCAGCGGGCAGGTCATCGCCGGCCACGGACGTCCATGTGATCCGGGTCCCGCTGTCCTTCTTTAGTCCCTGCCTCGCTATCGGCATGAATGGGCGCCGTATGTGTCGGTTGGATTGTGTTTGTTGATCCATTCGTGGTATTATTTCTCAACAAAACAACCGGTGTTTCATTTTTTCCCGTCTTCTTTCGTTCCGCCTCTCCTCCCAAGATGGCTATACCAAAAGCACGAGAACATCCATCTACAGTATTAAGACTAAAATAGTTCAGGCAGGCTTCGTGTGGCGTGGTCAATCGTCATGGGCGCTGTATTCTTGCCGCTCCCGTTCCGGGTACCGGTATAGGGATGCACGTACACATCATTCGTTGGCTGCAGCAACCCCGATCAGCCGAAGAATCAGGAAAGAATTGCCACATTGCCGCGTCAAACGAAATGTGGTTCGGTGAATAACTCGGCCTTCGAAATTTCAAATATATTATATGAATTTTGATTTTGAAATTTTGAATGTATGACGACAACAGACTGTTCCGGCGGACATATATATTTGGTGAAACAATGTCCGACAGAGATGTGAGAGCCGAGACAGACCGACAGGTAAATGTGAAACGATTAGTGGGGAGAGAGTTTTCCGCGAGCGGGTGGTAAGACAGATGCAGAGACAGACAGACGCAACAATGTGGGGAGCGGAATGGACCGGAACAGAGGGCTCCGAAAGATCCCAAAGAGGCGAGATGGAATATTGTATCGTCCCGGACAAACGTTCTGAAGATAGCAACAGCAAACAGCAGTGACATGTAAGCATGTATGAATGTATCTGAGAGCCGAGAGAAAGAGAGAGAAAAGAGACGGACGTTGCGAGGTGAACTGCTGCGAATGAACGGATGGAAGAGAGGTTTCCGTGAGCGGGAGAGACCGATGCTGAGACAGACTGACGGATAGACGCAGAAAAGATATGAGAAGCTGAAAATGGAACACAACAGCGAGCTCGAAAGATCCCATTAGAGATGGAATGTTCCGGACATTTGTGCTGAAAAGATGACATGTTCGACATGCCTTGTAGACTATGCATGTAAGAGTATCTGAGAGCCTACAGAGACGGCTGCTGTGAAGCGAACTGCTGTGAATGGGTGGGTGGAGCAGAGGTTTCCCCGAGCGGACGAGACAGATGCAGAAACGAGAGCGGAATGAACAATATTCTGACCGAAAGCTCCAACGGAAAAACGGAGGGCTCAGAGAGCCCGTGAGAAAGTTCTGTCTCGCGCAGAGGAAACTTCTTATGGCATCGAGGTAAAGGCCAACCTTCCGTGTATGTTGCACGCATACGCATTTTCATACCTCGCCCAACTCACTCACTGCTGCCCGCCTCTTATAGATCGACCCATCTTACTACTTGCTGTCCTCCATCTCCCCAGAACCCGTCTCCTGACGGCCGCTGTGTGCGGACATCATCTCTTGCCCTCTCCCCCCGCTGCTGCTGCTCCGGATCCCGACCGATTATTAGACCCAGCAGCAGGCGACGTGATAATGCGTTTCTTCGCGTGTCTAGCCGCGTTGGTCGGCACCAAGGTGGTGTCGTCGCACCCCCTCTGTTTTTTCGACGACAGACAGCCGGATTATGACCAGGTATTGCCTCCAGTTGTATGTAGTTCCATATTCGACACAACAAGAATCACCCGCTCGAGATTACCACGACCGTCACCACACGCGCTCTGTTGCAGATTGCATCTATTGCTGTACGTTTGCATCGCACTTCCGATTTGTTTTCCGTCGGCACGACAAACAGGTCTTGACTTTCTGCGACAACTCGATCACGTCGTACGGTGCCTGCTGCACGGACGATGAGGAAGCCCTAGTGATGGCCGACTTCAGCGCAGTGACGCCGGAAGGAGTGGAGCTCACCGGGGATTGCTCTGATCTCTACAGGCAGGTGGAGGTTGACAAATTGATCGTGTTGTCTTGTCTCATGTCTGGTCTCACTACACATGTGTTTCGCGCTGGTGGTTTTTTGAATGGCTTCTGCGTGAAAAATGGTCCGACGTCTCACATCGATGTGTGAACATCAAAGTCTCTCGCGGTCTCTTACACCAGGCCCATATTTTTTCAATCGCGAGTGTTGTATTGAGGTGATTAAGTTTTGCGTGGCCTGGCGCGAAGATTATGAAGACGGGGGTTTTGCTGTTTGGTGCCAATCCATCACATCCTGCTTCTCTGGAGAGGCTTGGATATCGTATCGACTTGTCGTCGTCGATACAGTAATCGGGTTTCGAAAAATTAGCCCTCCAGCAAGCTACAGCAGTATTTAATACTTCGATATTTCCCTATCGATACGAGAGGGAAGAGAGTGCTGCCCTCTTCTCGCATTCAAGTTAAAGGCAAACCTCAGGGAGAGGAACCCTTCACTGTGTCCCCACGGTCGGAGTGAACGGCACAAACATGTGCTTGTGCGCGCTGATTATTTGACAAATATCGGAAAGAAAATCACTCTCGTGACCCCGCAGCTGCACACCACACAGTAACACACAGCACAACATACAGCACAGCTTCACGACGTCAAGGAGGTCACGAAATGTAGGTAGCAGCTACTCTTCTCATTGTTAGAGCTTGACGGCTTTCTGCGCCAAGCTTGCCTTTCGTGGTGCGTGTGCGATTACCGCTGAGCTCTATTGCAGAAGCCCTAGCGCTGACCTTTGAAGCAATAGTAGTAGTCTAGATAGATACGCTTGCTTCCCCGAATTCACAATATGTACTCCGCAGTCTACATACTATTCTTGGCAGACAGTTGGCAGACCCCCAGTGGGGGGTCTTGACATAATTGGGTTTTCGTCCATGGACCGTCCATGGACCGTCCATGGACGGGCCATGCCCCCCCCATGACCGCATGGCCCGGTCACGACCTAAGGTCATGGCCGGTCCATGACCCGGCCATGGGCCAGCCATGACCCGTCCATGACCCGTCCGTGACTCGTCCATGGACCGTCCATGGACCGTTCATGACCCGGCCATGGCCCAACCATGGACCGTCCATGGACCGTTTATGACCCGGCCATGACATGGCCACGACCCGGCCATGGCCCGGCCATGATTCGGCCATGAACTGTACATGACCCGTCCATGGACCGTTTATAACCCGGCCATGACTCGGCCATGGATCCTTTATGACCCAACCATGACCGGTCCATGGTCCATGGACGGGTCATAAACGGGCCATAAACGGGTCATGGCTGATCCATGGACGAGGCATAAACGGTCCATCGCCGGGTCATAAACGGTCCATGGACCATTTATGACCCCGTTCGGGACATGGGCGGGTGATTGACCGGTCATGGCCCGTCCTTGACCCGGCCATGACCCGGCCATGGCCTTAGGTCATGACCGGGCCATGGGGTCATGGGGGGGCAATGGCCCGCCCATGGACGGTCCATGGACGAAAAACCCAAAAACGTCAAGACCCCCTGGCCTATTTTACGGTGATTTTGATGTGAAGTGAAGCGAATTGCTCCAATTTGTTTGCCTCCGGCGGCGCCTACTGCGGGACCCCTCACCAGGGGAGGGGGGCGCTTGAGCTCGCACAGCGACGTTCCGTGCCTTCGCACGTCAGCTCACTGGGCTTGCCAGCTCGCTTGGCTATCAATGCCGTGTTTGATCAATTATTGAGTCGATATCCAACACCACCCACGCCTCTCAAGGTCGATGCGGATTAAGCCCCCCCACCCCCCCGGTTCGGGTTTGGGTTTTCGTCGCTTGGCAACGACGTTGTAAAACAAGCCGCCCCCCCCGGTGTTTGCCATCGGGGTTTGGGTTTTCGTCGCTTGGCAACGACGTTGTAAAACAAGCCCCCCACTCGGTGTTTGCCATCGGGATTGGGTTTTCGTCGCTTGGCAACGACGTTTTAAAACAAGCCAATTCACTTCGTGAACTCGGCAACCAGGTTACCGTTTTTTTTTTTACCTCGGTTTTTTTTTTTGGCGGTAACCATAATGGTGGTCGAGTAGATCATGTTGTGCGGGGTGGAGAAACCTCACTCCGCGCAACGGGGGATGATCGCACCACGTTGTGTTAAAATGGTCAAGCTTCCTCGAGGCAGTTACACAGTGCTTACAACTGTCTCTGGAAGTGAAAGCACCAGAAAATAAATTAAGTCATACGCAGCTGTCATC